CCTCTCTGGGCCTCAAACAGGTTCGCAAGCAGTGTCTACTGCACAGAATGAAGGTGGACCAAGGCACTCTGTAGGAAGCCCTGTGTGCAGCGTGAACTCCGAGTGAGCATTCAGCAAGTTCGCACTCAGAGCCAGGGTGGTGTGGGTTTCAGGAGAGCAGCCTGTTGGGAAGGCCCCCCAAAGCTGGAGCAGGAGATGAAGTAGTGCTGAGCAGGCATGATGGAGTGGGGAGAAGTGCTTCAGGATGTTGGGATGAAGTGGCTTAAGCAGTGCGGGAGGTGGATAAAGCAGCCTCCAAGTTGCTTTAAGTCCCAGGTCACTGGGACCCACACTCAGACACACCCTTTTCCCACCCACCCATGGCCACCCTAACCCGGGCTGCTAAGACACAGACAACCTGTACTCCCCTGCCCCCACCCAATCACCACTGAGTGGCTTCCTATAGCCCAAGCCACTTTACTCTGACATTCCAGGCCAGCCCATCCACAGCATCCTGTTAAAACAGGGGCTCAAATTTCAGCTCCATCACACACCTACTGGGTCCCTGAGTCTGCACATATTCTCACATTGGTATTACACACCTCATGTGTGTAATAAATTCCTGACAGAGGGCCTGAGACAAAGCCACATCGACGGGGTGGACATGCACACAGATCTGACAATTTGGCAGGCTGGATACCTGACAATGCTTTTGTTTTGTGAAATTAATAAATGGTGCATAAGAACTAGCACTGCTCCGCTGGGCTCACTGGAAGGCAAGGGAGCCTGTTGGGACCATGTGTTGAAGACAGAACTGACCACCAGAAGGGCAGGTAGGAACAGAGTGACCATCTCTTGCTGCTGGGCTTTGGGAAAGAGGGAGCTTTGAAATTTAAGGTCATGAGGACAGGAGATCAGGCCTCAAGTTCCACTCAAGCAGGACATTGGACAAGAACCTTTAATGGAGAGACTCCCAGGGAGAGGGCAGATTAGAAAAATCTTCCCCCAAAGCTGGGCAGCAAGTAGGTGGGTCTGAGTTGGCCAGAGCAAGAGGTGGAAGAGTGAGGGGTGAGCAACCAGAATCTCCTGGGATTTGCAACCTCATTTCTACATCTGCATGTTTTTAATTTACTCCTCTGCATGTTCCAAGGGCATCCAAGCCAAGCAGGAAGACTGGTCCCAAAGATAAAGCCTCTGAGCAGCAGCTCTAACTGCTCCAGATGTCAACGGACAGGTAAGGCTACACTGAAGGGGACAGCTTACAGTCAGATTAGACCCTCGCCAACATCAAGAAAAAGAATATCAGATGAAAAGTATAGAGAGAGCAGGATGGGTGTTGGGGAGTCCCTGTTCTATCACTCCTAACTGTGTGACCTTAGCTGGATCATCAACTTCTCTGTGCTCCAGTTTCTCTACTATAAAATAGGAATGCTAACTACCCACTCATTTAGGACTAGAACTAAATTAACAAAGGTAAAGCATTTAGCACAGAGACTGGCATGAGAAATGGCCCCAACTATTAAATTTATTGCAATTTCTATCTATGGCAGTAGTAACAGTTCTTTATAAGAGAGCTGTGCAGTAAGCAGTAGAAGCCTTCATTTATCTTCCTTTACAATTGGAGAAACTGAGGCCAAGAGAAAGGTCTGGTTTGCTCAGGCTGCTCGCCTGGTGGGCTGCAGAGCTGAGCTGCGGACTCTGCCTCTGGACACTCCACACAGACCAAGAACTGTCCCCAGAGATTAAATGACTCCAAGAAAGGAGACTGGGTCCCCTTAATCAGACCTTGAGTGGAGTATGTAAATTGGAAGGGGTGGGGCCTGGCCTGTCATCTGAGACTTGCCTTTCTCCCAGGCTCCTTATGGGAGGTGGAGCCAGGGGCAGCATAGGGGCTGCCAGCCCAACCTCCTTCCTGGCGATTTTGTGTGCAGGAGCTCTACCACCAAGTGATTACCAATCCCTGGGGTCTCTCTGAGCCCCATGACTTTGCAAATGATGACAACAGACACTAAACATAATGATAATGGCTCGCTACCCATGCAAGATTCTCATCAGATTCCAAATGGGTGAAGGACAGCTGCACCACAACACAGTTAACTCCCCTGAGCTTAAGGTGGGCCTCCAGACCAGAGTGAAGTCTTATCAGGGTCCACCTAGCTCCCTCACCTCAGCACCTGCTGAGGAGTGAAGGCGGTGGCCTAACGTCTGAGAAATGTTGAGGTGCAGTCATTCTTGGCTTCAGAGGTCCCAGAGACCCAGGTACTGGCTGGTAAAGTCTAATACTGCCAGATGCTAAAGGGTCACTATTGATCCCTTGATATCTTGACATTGGCCTTGCCCACCAACATTAGGCTAACACCACCCAGTCCCATCTCCCTTCTCCTCCAACACTGACCATTGGGGAAACTGCCCTGGGCATCAGGCTGACTGTGTAACTATTGCCCGGCCTGTTAACTGCTGTAAGCCCCTGTTTACTCTGTGAAATGGGAATAACAGCATCTAAACAGAATGAGGGAAAGGTGCTGAGCACAGCACTGGACATGTAGTAAGTGTTCAGTAAACACCAGCCATTGTTATTATTACCACTGTGTCCCATTTTGCCACATCGTGCTCCATGATACCTTTAAGAACAAGACTGCCTCATGGTGTATGGGGCTGGTCCAAGGTCTGTCTGCCCATCCAAATGGATTTACAAGGGGACAAGGACCATGTCTGTCTTGATCCACTGTTTACAACTCGCACTGTTTATAATGTGTGAGGGATAAATGAATAGCAGACCTAAATTCCAATTTGAACCCTGCCAGACAGAGCAAGTCACTGAACCTCTCTGAGCCTCTATTTCCATATCTGTTAATATCAGCCACCCTGTAGAGAGAAGTATGTATCACCTGTCATATACCCAATGCTTAAATGAACAACAGTGAATATTATAATTATTATAATGGATGAAATTACAATCACTGTTGGGAGGTGCAGAGAGAAACGTCCCCTACTTTAGTTTTCTCCATAACTTTCCTTATATTTTAGATTTACTTGTTTATTGTCTATTCTTCTATCTCACCTACCACCTCCATTGCCCCTCTGGAATGTAATTTCCTTGAAGGCAAACACTTTGTTACAAGTAGTAGGTAATCACTCAGTAAATATTTGTCAAATAAATAAATGAACGAATGAAAGAAAGCTCCAGACAGTGGCCAACAACCACGTGACCTTTATTTAGTGCTTCCATGCAGGGCTTTGGAAAGTGTGCTCACCTGCTCTTAAGGAGAACAACCCAACCGAGATCCCAAGAGGCTCTGCAAGGCCGGGTGGGGATGACCCCCAGCCCAGGCAGCATGGCTTCCCCAAGAAGCCATGTCTGCACAGAGGTAGCCAGAGACCTGAGGCTGGGGTTTGGCTTGGGGTGAAGGAGAAGGGTGGAAATAAAGTAACATTTGTTGATCATCTATTATGTGCCAGACCCATATTTGGCTATCTGTGTGATATTTCACAATAGTCCCATTGGATAGCCACCTTTTCTCACAATTTGACAGGTGAGGAAGCCGAGGCTCTGACAAGTAATGCCATTCACTAAGGACGCCCATCTGGACACCGGCCAGACTTGGATTCTGGGGCCTGGTTGGCAGTGTCCTTCCTTAGTCCCA